ATTAGCTGTTATAACTAGGCATGATATTAGGATAGCTAATGAATTAACATGTTCAAACCCTTTCGTTATGAGCTCCTCCCCCAAAATTATCTCAGGGTTCATAATGAGTACAGAAAATCCAGATGGCCCTGTAACCCATTGGAATTTGTAAATATAGACATTAGACTCCCAGACTAAGATCTTGTATAAGGTGGAACTCTAACTTAAGCTTAAGACAGAGGTCACCAAGGTCACAAAAAACAATAAGAATGGGACAATTAGAAAATGGGAAACTCCAGTTTACAGCTGTGATGCAGACGACATAGTCACCATATCAAAAGAGTTAACTATTCATATTTTCACTTTATAGCAAGTGTATTTTGTTGGAAATAATAAGAAGGATAGGAAAAAGGGTAGTGATAGTTAACCTAGCTGATATTGTGAGACTTGTGTTTATTCAAAATGTTTACTTTATTAAATACAGTAGCTTTATATTCAAGTTTTCATCTTTCCAGATGGAATGCCAGAGGATGACAATGCTGTAGTTGAAATAAGCCTGAAGCTTGCAAGTGTTTATGCCTCCATAAAGGACTATGAGAAAGCTGTGGAGGGATTTCATTTCTGCATTGGCACACAGGAGGCTAAGATAAAGAAGATTGGTGAGAAGGATCTAGATGAAGACACCCTCTTACTCTGGGCTATGAGTATGGACTGGTATGCACGATTCCTGCTGAGCATTCAGAAGTACGAAATGGCAAAAATACATTTCATTAAGGCCTATGAGATGAGTGAGCGTGTAAATGGTCCAGGGCACTCGCAGACTGCAGTTTTGTTAAATGATATTGGGTCTGTCTGCTCTCTACAGAAGAATTATGCCGAAGCTGTTGAATATTTGGAAAAAGCTATTGATGCTGCAAGAATATCTCAGAGTGCAGACATTGCATCATTTTATGTAAATCTTGGTGCTGTTTATCTACAACAGGAAATATTAAGCAATGCAGAAAGATATTGTAAAGAGGGATTGTTATTAGCAAGAAAAATGAAGAATGAAGAGGCTGTGGATGAGGCAAATAGTTGTTTAGCAGAGATTGCTAATATAAGAAAAAAGAAGTAGGTTTTTAATGGTAAAAATTGGGATTTTATGTAGTAGTCATTTCTTTTTAATTTAAAAAGAATTGTATCTTAAAAATCAACGATCATTGGAGAAAGGAGAGATAATCCTCATTACTTTAAACAATATTAATCTGCTTGTATACAAGCATTTCCATCTTTTCTTTTCTTCCTCTCTTCTTTTCTTCCATCTCTCTTTTACTTGTTTTTTCCCTCTTTCCTTTCCTTTTCCCTTCTCTCTTCCTCCCTTTTCTTCCCTTCTCTCTTCCCCCCTACCTCCTGCCCTTTAGAAAATTCAGCATTGCTTTATGTTACAGATTCTGTTTCTCATTGTCCTTTATTTGTGATGTTGATATTTATATACATGAATCGAAATCTTTAGAAGTGATAAGGAAAGTGACCATTGTAGTATTTGTGATAGATAGTAGCTGTGACATGCCGTTTACCTGGCCATCTTGGGGAATGGCTTTAACAAGCTTTGTAAATAGATTGTGATTGCATTATAATTTAATTTAATTTATTTATTTTGATGGTGAGTGGTGGTTAAAGATTTCCAAGTTGTCCTGATGAATAATAGAAGAGAAGACTGAATGTATTGTGGCATATTGTATATTTGTTTTTATACAGATTTGTAATGAATAGCACTCACCCAGAGGAAATGGGGACACGTATATTGATTTATAGAGAGTTTTTATGCAACTAATGCTCTCTGGATTATTGAAGTTATCAGGAATTTGAAAACACTGCATGCTAGATGTGCTTATTTTACATGGTAATACTTATGCAAAGTTCAAAATTACATTTTACTTCTGTGAAGCTTCTTTAGATGTATACAAGTTTTTAAACAATCTCATCTGAATTAAAGTTGATTCATGTAAATTAATCCTGATGCCCATAAACCAAAAATCTATTAAAATTCATGTGAAATTATTTGTTTTCTCTGTAGGTAACCTCTCTTATAACTAATATACTTCATAATTCTGATGATATGTTATCTTCTACAATATCTTTTACACTTTTACAGTAGACTCTACATTATCATATACTATCCATCTCTATACCTGGTAAGAAAGGAAACTGGAGTGATTTAAATCTGAGTGTTTTTCTTTCAGCTTTTGTGATTCTTTTAACCTATTGCCGCCG